GTAATTATAAAATAAAATATAAATCTAAGTGGGAAGAGAGAAAAGAATAAAAAAATGGAAGGATGAATTAAAGTTGATGGTGCCCATGTGAAGAGGAAATAAAAATATAATAAAAAATAAGAAAAATCATGAATGTTGTGTTTAAAACATTTTAAAAGGCGTGTAATGTCGGTTATAAAAAATGTTTTCGGACGCGGATAATAATATGCATTAAATAAGTTGTCAAATGATTGGTTTTTTTTAACACACTATAGTATCTACACTAAGGGAAATTAGGTAGATTTAGTCTCACAATGGGCTAATAATAATATGATTTAATCAGTTGTTTATTAAATATTATTTTCTTTATAAAAAAAGGTATTTCGCACGCAAATATTAATGTGATTAAATTAATTGTCAAATGATTTTTTTTAAACAAACAATATTATCAACACTAAGGGTGAGGGGGTGAGTTAGCAATAATGTGATTCAATCAATTGTTTATTAAATATTATTTCTCTATTCTTAATGTAAATTGTATAGAAACCGATTTTATTATGTAAATTCAACTGCTTTAATTGGTTTATGAGGGGTTTATTCTAACATGATCTAAAATTATTCATTTACTTCAAATATTTGACTTTTATTTTGTCAATTTATGCATATAAATACATTTAAAACGTGTAAGTCGTGTGTAGCACACCATGATTCAAAAAATTGACACATGAGCGCGTGCTTGAATGCTAGTAATTAGAACTATGTATGTAAATTGTTCCAAGGGTGAACATTATTACTTTATTGTATATATCCAAGGGCGAACATTATTAATTGCAGATACATATCTAATTTGGAAAGGGATTCTCTTTGGATCTCTTCTTCCTAATCCACCAAATCAGTGGATCCATGCCATTAAAATTTGATTCAACGACTACAAACAGGAGTCCACTTTAAAAATTATAATAACTTCAGTCGTTAGATCAAATTTCAATGATACGGATCCATTGATTTGGTGGATTAGGAGAAAGGAATATGAAGATGATCCCTTTTCCATCCAAATTTATGATTAAGTGTTTGTTATTGGCCTTTGTTTTGGTTTCATTTGTACCCGTTAGTTTATTTTTGCGATGTTGTTCCTGATTGTAGTGCTCATCAATTTTGTGGTGGTTACTTTCTATCTATACGTTTTTACACAAAATATTTAGAACGATGAACTTGTCCTCTGTTTCCACTTGGATTGTTTGATGCAATAGCTGCGGTAGGTACTTTTTTTTTGGTATACACATTTAGTTGATCTATATCTTATGTTTAGAATTAGATAAGAAAAAAGCTTCGATCAATGTGTACATTTTGCTGCTTTTAGAATACATATTTTTTTTCTTATATTTTCACCCATAATGTCCACGAAATTCTTTAGCGTATGTTTTGCTACTTTTGGGGTACAAATTTTGTTCTTATGTTTTCACTTATAATGTCCACGTAGTTCTTCAATAAATACATTTATTACATTTTTTTGTTGGATACATTTTGCTAAATGAGAAAGGTTTTTATAAAAAACCTCTTGTAATTTAGAAATGTTTTTAAATTTGAAATTATGAAATAATTTTACTAAATAAATTCCTAAAAAAGGGGAAACTGATTAATGAATGAGTGTGTAATAACCCTCAAAATTAGGCATCATTGCAAAACTTACCTAAAGGGCCGGCCACCTCAATCAAATATTAAAAATCTATTCAGGTTTTAGTCAAACAATACTAGTGGTGAGGGATAGCAACCTAATATTACAATTGAAAAATAAAGTAAATATTAACAGAAGGATAATAAGGATCAAGGAGGAAACAATTAGCCAGGCAGGCAGGTTATACAGGTTGACTTCTCGCAACAGCAAAAAAATCAGGGAATTAAGAGGCGGAGGTTGCCAAATTATATCCGTCCGACTCCAAAAGAGAGAGAGAGAGAGAGAGAGAGAAAAGAGAGAGAAGTAAGAATGAGCAAATTATCGGCAGATGAAGCAGCTGGAAATTATGTTAGCGGGAATAATATGATGAAATTACTAGTATCATCATCATCATTATCATCATCATCGTCATCACCATCATCCAACGGTGGAAACGGATCATCAGGTAGCAGTAATCGAGCGTTGGTGGCGAAGAAGTTTCTAAAGGTGACGTTGCTGTTTGCGGCAGCCACTGTGTGTTGCTTTGGCTTCTACAATTCTGTCTACACTTCCGGATTTCTGCTCAGATCCTCTTATGACTACGCTTTGTCTGGCACCAGAACCGTAACTTCTCATCAGGCCAGGACTCTCTCTCTCTCTCTCTCTCTCTCTCTCTCTCTCTCTCTCGCATGTTCTATTTTGTGTTCATCCCAAGGCTTGTTATTTTAGTCATAATTAAGCCTTGTTATTTTAGTCATAATTAAGCCGGCATAATCCAACAGCAACATGTTTTTTTTATTAGTTTTTCTAAAAAACGATCAATTACCCATAAAATATCAAAGTGGTAGTAATTACTTTTAGACTCTTGAGCAAATTAAGTAAAACAATATATTCTTGTTGTATAGCTAATCCGAAATCAATATATACATAATTATGAAGGATTTGGCAGTCAGATAATTATGTTTATCGATACATGTTCCATAATCTTCCTTCATTGCCAAGAGAGAGAAAGAAAAAAGGACTTTCTGTTTTATGATCGAATCATTACCTTTCTCTCTACGTAACACATCCATGCCAATTTTTAATCCGGATTTTACTCATATTTTATAATTAGCTCTGTTTGTATATACTACTCATCTTTTTTATCCTGTAATTGTTGATGCTACATGACTCAAAAAGGGTTAATGCTTTTACACATGGAGTGGTTGTCCTTGTCGTGTGGCACCCTTTACTCCCCTCAGGGTCGGGGCCCAATGAAAAATCTTTGGTCAAATTGCCGTACCACCGGGCATGTCCGACCGTTCACAAATACACGAAAATCTCTATAATTTTATCTTGTCATCTAACTGATCTCATATGTGTGAGTTTCTCTGTACGGATAACCCTATTGAACAATCCCTAGGGCCTGGGGTTGTGATTATGCAATACCATTACATGAATCAGTTATTTTTGATCTTGATGATGCAGACCAAAGTAGAAGATCTATTGGATACAGTTCTTAAAAATGCATCTATGAAGAACAAAACCATTATCGTGACTACTCTAAATGATGCATGGGCAGAACCCAATTCAATATTCGATTCATTTTTAGAGAGTTTCGAGATCGGAAGTAACACAAAATGGCTGCTCAAGCATTTGGTGGTCATATGCTTGGACAAAAAAGCATATGCGCGTTGCTTGGCATCACACCCTCATTGCTACCAACTCTACACTCAAGGTGCCAACTTCACCAGCGAAGCTGCTTTCATGTCTTCAAAGTACCTGGACATGATGTGGAGACGAATCCAATTTTTGTCTTCTATTCTCGACAGAGGATACAACTTTGTCTTTACAGTAACTCCCTTGATCTAATACTCCTAATTTTCCATTGTCTCTCACCTACCAATTTACCTATCTATATATCCAATTTTCACTTACTTTTTTTCTTTCCAAAATTGGATGCACAGGACACTGATATAATGTGGCTACGAAATCCATTCCCACGATTCTATCCAGATGCAGATTTTCAAATTGCATGCGATTACTTCATTGGTGATTCTTATAGCATGAAGAACTTTCCAAATGGAGGGTTTACTTATGTAAAATCAAACAATCGCACGATTCAATTTTATAAGTTTTGGTACTTCTCAAGAAAGGCGTATCCAAAGATGCATGACCAAGACGTTCTCAATGAGATCAAATTTGATCCCTTCCTCACCCAAATTGGATTGAAAATGAGGTTCTTGGATACACTATACTTTGGTGGCTTCTGCCAGGCGAGTAAGGACTTTAACCAAGTTTGCACAATGCATGCCAATTGTTGTGTTGGCCTCGAAAACAAAGTCAATGATCTTAAAATTTTGCTTAAAGTTTGGAGAAAGTACATGTCCTTGCCTCCTAATGCAACTGCCACACCACAGCTTTCATGGACTGTTCCACAAAATTGCAGGTATACATATTATATTTTATCGAGTGTATTGAATTGTGACTTCTCTTATTATATTTAGGAAAGTGATTTTCACCTTTTTTTTACTTCTAACAAATTCATGTTTAATCCTAGTCATGTTGAGTTTTTTATCCCAACATTTTCTATATCTTTTTCCGCATTGGTGCAGTCATATCGTAGTGGGTTCCCGGCCATCTTATGGTTCCTACCCGATATGATGAAATTGAGGACAAATAAATTTTTATTGTTCTTTAAAAATTTTCTTCAAGAACTATGCGGTTTGTTGTATTTTTTTGTTTGTTTCTTTTAGAAGTATACGATTTGTCGTTTAATATTGAACCTTTTTCCTTCGACTTTTTTATTGGCTTGAAGCACTTCCTTCCAACGCCTTGAAAAGCACTCGTGACGGGAAGAGAAGGGAAAGGAAATTGCACAAAATTCTTACAAGCTGTAGAGCTTTTGCAAGATTTAGTTACAGGTAAATCGTATATGCATATGTGTACATACATGTATTTAATTAAATTGGCCTCGAATACATCTAATATACAAGGTTAGTCGGAAAACACTTTTACCATATTGCATTGTTTATGACGTTCCAAATAGAATATATGTAGTCATTGAAACTTGATCTAAGAAGCATGGATCTGACGTTTTGTATTTTATGTTGTTATTTCAGGTAGAAGGACGACGGAAATGGCACCTTGGTGATCAATTATCATGTCATCTTATACAAAATTGATCAATATACGAAACTGACTCAGTTTGCACTACTCTTTGATTTCCAGTTCTATATATAATGGAAACATAATGATATGCAACCCCTTCCTCCCGTAGCCATGCATAAGCACCAAGGCCACACAAGTAAACATATCATAAACATTATAAAAATTGAAAAGAAAAAAAATCAGAGGTACTTGGTAACCATTTAGTTTTTTTTTTTTTTTTAGATCTCACTTTTTGTGTTAATGATAGAGAAAAAATAAGAGGGACAAAGAAGAATGAATGAATGATGGTGGGAAAGAGATGTACGAAATTTATAACAACAAACACACAAAATAAAAACCAACAAAATTGATAACCAAAAACAATTTAAGTTATCACTTTCAAAATGTTGTTTCAGTTATTATTCTGTATTTCTTTCCCTCTCTTTTTCATTACCATTTTTCATCAATTCATTTCCTCATAATCTCAAGCACAAACAGCTAAACCAAACCTAAAAACAAATTGCCACTACCATAATGGGACTTGCGTAATGCCTACAACTTCGAACCTGCAACTTGAAATGTAAAAAAATCAGAGTTCCTGTATATATATACATATATATCCGAAAGTCCAATGCCGCAATTGTCTACCAATTCAATCCCGGACTTCGACGCTATAATATACTATTGTGCGTAATGACTACTACTCTAGTTAGCTTTCCTGCTTTTCGCAGCAAGCTAACACATGTTTCTTGATTTAGAAAAAATCTCTCTAAGATCTATACATTTAAATTTACAATACTTTATATATAGCCAAGTCTAACGCAGTTTGGCATATTACAGCCCAATATTCAAGAAGAAAAAGGGTGTAAGTTGAAAAAGCATCAAGAATGAGAAACTCGGCGATTCTTGATATTACTGGGAAGAGGATTAATGTGCGGACGACGCTGGTGTTTATGGCGGCAGCAGCCGTCGCCGGTTGCTTTATTGTCTACAATTTCGTGTACCCTACTGGATTTCGTTATGATGGCTTGGCACCATACCTCCCCTCCTGCAAAACCACAACCCCTCCACTTAAGCAGGCGAGTACACTAGTCCTCTTAAATTCGTTAGTTATCTCTCACTAATTAATCCCTTTCACTTTCTACTCCACAAATATATGAATTATTTTAGCATGTAATTATGTACGTACATATATATAACATGCATGCATGGTTATCGGTGCATGCAGGGCAACCAGCTGGAGGATATAGATCCATTAGATAAAGTTCTGAAAAATGCATGCATGATGAACAAAACGGTTATAATAACTACGTTAAATGATGCATGGGCAGAACCCAATTCAATATTTGATCTCTTTCTTGAGAGCTTTAACATCGGAAGTAACACGAAATGGCTGCTCAAGCATTTACTAGTCATCTGCGTGGACCAAACAGCATATGCTCGTTGCTTAGCATCACACCCTCATTGTTACTTACTTTACACTCCAGGTGCCAACTTTACCGGTGAGGTATTTTATCTGACTCCCGATTACTTACAGATGATGTGGAGAAGAACCCAGATTTTGTCTTCCATTCTCGACAAAGGCTACAACTTTGTCTTTACGGTATGTATATTATATACATGTCACTCCCCTTTCTTAGTCCTTAATTTCTTCCAATTTTTGCTTACTTTTCCATGTATGAACTATTTAGTGAAATTAATGAACAGGATACCGATATAATGTGGCTTCGAGATCCATTCCCACACTTCTATCCAGATGCAGATTTTCAAATTGCAACAGATAAATTTCTAGGAGATTCTTATAGTTTTAAAAATCCTCCCAATTGTGGATTTGTCAATGTAAAATCCAATGATCGGACTATTGGGTTTTACAAATTTTGGTACCTCTCCAAAAACACATATCCAAAGACGAATGAGCAAGATGTTCTTAATAGGATAAAATTTGATCCTTTCATTGCGAAGATTGGATTGAAAGTGAGATTCTTGGATACAAAATACTTTAGTGGATTCTGTGACCCAAGTAAGGATGTTAACCAAGTTTGCACAATGCATGCTAATTGTTGTATTGGTCTTGAAAACAAAGTCAACGACCTTAAAGCTTTGCTGCAAGTTTGGAAAAAATACATGTCATCGCCTCGTAACGCCACTGGCACCTCACAAGCTTTATGGACCGTCCCACAAAAATATTGCAGGTATATTTTATCCATCAGTTATGAATCTTCTTCTGTTAAGCCTATTTCTAATTTCATTTGGAACTTAATCATACGGACTGTTGGTTTACATATATATATATATGTATGTGTGTATGTATGTATGTATGTATGTATGTATATATATGTGTATGTATATATATATATATATATATTGACCCTTTGACTATCTAATTGACTTGAAGCACTTCCTTCGAACGCCGTTGGAAGCATAATAACCGGAGAAGGGAGTGAAACTATTAACAATATTATTCCAATCTGTGGAGCTCTTGAAACATTTACTTACAGGTAAATCTTATACAATGTTACGTTATCAAATATCTTTGAAACTTAATTTGAGAACCATGCATGCATGCATGAATCTGACGTTATAGTTCTACTTTATCATGTATGTTGTTACTTCAGGTAGAAGGAAAAGAGGGTTAAGTTCAACGATGAAAATTGCTCCTTGGCGATCAAATATATGTCATCTTGCTCATGATTATTACAAAATTTATTTTGCAGCCATTTTTGTTTTTGCAATGGTATCAGAAGTGAATTAGTGAAAAAGGATATGCCCTCCATTTATGAATTATGACAACGGGAATAAACGAAAAGCCTTAAGTGTGAGATTTATAATGTGTAATTAGTATGTATTAATATGTAAGATACACAAACACCTTTGCGTAATGTCTATTTCAACTTCAAATCGTATGCAACTTTGAGATGTACAAATCAGAAGGGATAGATACGTAATGTAAAATTTCAATTTCTATTTATTCACATGTATCATCCGCTAACATTTGCAGAAGCGTAGTTTAGATTAATAAATTAACCATAGAAGGCACATGCACTTAACTCTATGGCATGCAACTCGGTTTAAATCACCCCAATCACCCATAGGCTCTGCACCTATCACATCTAGCATAAGCAGCTGTTTTAGTCCACATGTGTTCCCCTTGGTCCATTTATCAGAACAAAACCAACTCCCACCTAAATTTCAGCAGGAGTTAATTTCTTGATGGGTAAGGCACCAGCACGAGGAACAGTGTGGGAATTAGGAACATTAGTTTGAGGCTTAATAGTGAGGGGTGGCCTAGGGAAATTAGATTTCAACTCGGAGATCTTAGTATCTAATTGCACATCAATGGCAATTACATCATGGCTAGTTGCAAGCTTAGGTAGCTTGCAATCAAATTTCAATTCAAGTTTGAGACTCCCTAAGAAGCAACTCTTAAGCAAAATAGGTCCTAACCCAGTGGTACGATTAGCTAGTCTCCCGAATTCAGCAATGTAATTACGAAGTGTGACTGTTTGGCGAAATTTAAACAATGCTTCAGCGTTATCATCAAACTCTGATGGTCCAATCTCTCTGCAAAATGCCTCAGTGAAGTCCTCCCAACGACGAGTGGAATAGCTATAGGCCTGACATTTTTGACCCAAACCGTTAACCATGATCCGACCCAACCCGTTAATATTTGTATTTGGATGGATGTTTAACGGTTCGGGTCGCGAACGGATGAACCCGTTAACAACCTGTTAAATAACGGGTCACTTTGGGTCAACCCGTTAGACCCGTTAGACCCGTTACGACCTGTTAACACCCGTTAGTTGAGGATATTTTAGTAATTTTAGTAAAGTCTTAATAACAAAAAATAAACTTTATGCAAAAAATAATAATTATTATTATTAACGGGTGAAACGGGTGACCCGTTAGCTTAACGGGTCGGGTTCGATGACCCGTTAGCTTAACGGGTTGATTTCAGATAATCCGTTAACTTAACAGATCGGGTTGAACCCGACCCAACTCAATAACCCCGACCCGTTTAGGTCTAGAGTGGAATGGATGCAATATATCCATTTAAACCATTGTAGATATTCACCATCAAGGTGAAAAGAAGCTGATTCTCTACTGTGTTATAGAAGGAAAAAAATTGTTTGGCCTTATAGATCTAGGCCAAGGGGTCTTCACAATCAGAGAAATGAGGGAAATCAACCCTTGGAGTCCATGGTTGATGAGGAGGTGGACCTCCTCTAGTCCAATTTGGACTGCGAAGTAGTTGGATGATTCATTCTTTATGAGGTGGATGATCGGCACTCGATAGAGCTTAAGAGCTCTCACCCTCTCCCCGAATAGTGATTTCACGGCGGAACTGCACGAAGTACACCGGAAGGCGAGCTTCTAAATTTGCCAGAATTTTGGTATCGAAGGGGTTGGAGACCGCAACGTTGACAGAGGAATTCACCGCCTCAGCGATGATAGTAGGGAGGGAAGCAAAAGAGGGTTCCAGAGAGGAGACACGAGCGTCCATGGCAGTAGAGCAAGTGGCAGCGGCACGACGGATCATGCACGATAGGGAACTATGTTCAATTGGGTGATAATGTTAGCACCAATGATTGGCTCAACCTTGATCTGCAATGACGGATGGTAAAGAGAGAGAGGGAGAGCAATTGAACCAATTTTATTTTTCATATTATCGTTGCTACCACAATAGTGAAGTTATAACAACTAGCCAGCTCACCAAGTGTGTGAGTGCCAACTCAGCAATACAAGACAAAGACCTATTAAAATGACCCCATACTTAAGAGTTAAGGCTATTACAATTAAACCCCCAAATTCCTTTGTGATCAAGACAATCACACAAATGGGATCATAACAGTCACACAGCTGGCGACGAGGCTGGCGGTTCTAGCGCTGGGTTCTTCTGCTCACATGATTTCTTATGTTTTTTCTCCTCTTAACTTAAAGCTTTGGTGCCAAGAAGAGAATGCTTTGGAATAGTATTGAGTTTTACATTGATACGGAAAGGAATTACATAATATACAGTTGATATGATCAAGTAGCTCATTGTAAATTAAAATTGACCTCCGAACTAGGCAAATACATAAAAGGTAAATATTCAACAAATTAGGGATATTTGTTCCTATTGATTCAAGGAGGGAGAGAGAAGACAGAAGCGGGTTGATTTTCAATTTTTTTTTAGGATGAACTATTGATTTAGTCGTTAAATTATCAGCTCAGTAAAATTTAGATCCTTAAATTATTTTTTTTTTGGTAAAATAAGTCCCTAAATTCATAAAAAAAAAATTGTTAATTTCATCCCTAATATTATATTGAAAACTATTTTATTTTATATTTCGTCAATTTAAGTCACATGACATATTTTAGAGGATAATGCCATCATTTTCTTCCTTATAAGACCTTAACGTTTCATATAGGGTGTGAATCTAATGTCTAATTTACCCTTCAAAGTTAATTTCATATACTATTTCTTAGAAAAATTGATCCTTCAACTATGAAAAACTACCAAACTACTCGCTAAGTGTATCACATGCAAGCCATATGACTTAAATTGGCAAAAAATTGAATAGAATAGCTTTGAATCTAATGTTGGGGATGTAATTGGTAGATTTGGATCAGTTTAAGGACTGTTTTTTTCAAAAAAATAATAATTTAAGAATCTAATTTTCACTCTGATAATAAATTAAAATATAAATTGATAGTTTACCTTTTATTTTAATCATTTGACTAAAATCCATGGAAATGCATTGCCAAAATTATTTGGTTGGGAGAACGGAGTTGAATGTCAATAATGGCAGCTTAGGATGGGAATGCCAAAATTGACTAAAACTTTAAATTTAATAAAACTAAACGCCGATATTGACTAAAACTTCAAATTTAATAAGACTAATTTGTTATTGTGCAACTTGCTGCTAAAGGAAAATGGTCACACCCCAATCTCAATTCCATCGTAGCACGATATTGTTTGTTTTGGGTCTCAGTCACGCCCTCACGGTTTTGTTTCTGGGAACTCACACGAGAACTTCCCAATGGGTCACCCATCCTAGGAATGCTCTCCCGAACTCGCTTAAATTCGAAGTTCCGATGGAACCCAAAGTCAGTGAATTCCCAAAATGTCTTGTGCTATATGGAGGTGAGCATGTACATATAAGGCACATCACCTCCTCTCCGTTAGTCGATGTGGAATGTTACAACCCACCCCCTTAAGGGCTCGACGTCCTCGTCGTCACACTCGCACCGAACGGTAGAGTGACTCTGATACCATTCTGTCACATTCCAGTCTCGACTCCGCCGTAGCACGATATTGTCCACTTTGGGCCTCGACCACGTCCTCACGGTTTTATTTCTGGGAACTCAGACGAGAACTTCCTAGTGGGTCACCCATCTTAGGATTGCTCTCACCCGAGCTAGCTTAATTTTGAAGTTCCGATGGAACCCGAAGTAATGAGTTCTCAAAAGGTCTCGTGCTATATGGAGGTGGGCATGTACATATAAGGCACATCACTCCTTCTTCATTGGTCGATGTGGGATTTTACAAAAATACGTTAGCTGTCTAGAAAAAATCTACCACATCTGCTGACATGTGATGTTTGGACATTAAATCGAGTCTTTGTAAATGGGCAGAGCCAAAGTACTGTTATTTTACGACGGTAGGGACGATTGATTCCATTATTAACCAGAAAGAAACCAAATTCTCCTAAATAAGGGAAATATTATTTGTCGTCGACTCCTATCTTCGGCTTTGAAGTTGACGACAAGATTCTTGAAAATCATTCTTCGTCTATTCCCTCTCACTTTCTGTTTACTTTATTCGGTGTTGAATTATCGTCGTAAAACGTTGTAGTCACCATGTCACATCCCAACCTGGGTCAACCACATCCCGGGCACGTTCCACCACCGTAGCACGATATTGTCCGCTTTGAGCTTACCATTCTCTCACTTTATTCGGTGTTAAAGTCCCATGCTTAGACACTTTAGACGTCAAATATTGCTCGATTGACTAGTATTTTTACCATATGACAGTCTTCTTTATCAAGAAGGTTAACTAGAGGCGCATGTTTTTTATATCCATTCCAATTCAAATTTAACTTTCAACAAAATAATGTATGTATGTCTTTACCATTTTAATTTGGCAAAAGCACATAGATTATTCAGAAAATGAGATCACTTTCACTCAGCTGCAAAAATTGGAACCTTCACTTCTACCAAATCTACAAGGCTTTTGCTCAGAAAATTGCATTGTTAAACCCGTGCTTAGACACTTTAGACGTCAAGTATTGCTCGATTGACTAGTATTTTTACCATATGACACTCTTCTTTTCTTTATGACCACTTTTACAATGTAACTTTGTTTTTCTCTATATGACGAACTTATTATCCGACACAGAAAATTACTTATTCAAATTATTGAAAATTCAAATACCTAAGAAAAAAAATCACATGAAAACATAATTTTTGTGAGTGTGTATTGTAGGTTTGTGGGCCCTATTTTTATTTTTGCCCTCCAAAATGTTTAGACGGCCCTGATTAAAATGGATTAGGAACACCTGACTTTCACACAATTTTTTCACTCACACTTTACTAAGAGCAATCCTTAAACAGGTGGAGTTGTACTATTACAATTCTTAAATGGATGAGATCACAAGAATGGGAAAATCTTGTCCTAAAGTTGTTGACGGCTTCTGTCAAGCATGGTCTGAAATGCCGATATTATTGGTGATATTTCGCCGATAATATCGGTTTTGTGAGAGAGCAATATTTTAATACTTATCCACTGAATTTTCGTCAAAATATCACGATATTTTAGGCTGGTGCGAATCGGAGAAGAACGC